TATTTACTTACATCGAACACGGCATGCAAATACATATCGTATGTTTTGAAGAATGCATTTTTTTAGAAACGGTGCGTCCTTCTCTATTTGCAAATCAAGTAACCGTTGGACTTCCCATGACCACTGCAATATAGAAACAGATGTTTTTGATATAGTCACGAAGCTCAACCGTAAGGATCAAACAAATGTGTCCAGTCGCGTCTGGTCTGTATGTGATATATATATATATATATATATATATATATATATATATATATATATATATATATATATATATATATATATATATATATATATATATAAGTAATTGGTGATGCGTGCTTAGTCGTGACGGATATGGGCTGGTGCGTGCAGGCAAGGCGATGGGTGACAATTACTCGCAGACCTGGGTTCGAAACTCGGTAGAGTACGAATTTAATTTCTCTAACCTATATGATAGCATTGTTTATATTAAACTATATATATATATATATATATATATATATATATATATATATATATATATATATATATATATATATATATATATATATATAATAAATATATAATAAAGTTAGTTATATATAATAAAGTTAGTTTGACAATGTTTTTACTTTTCCATTTCAATAAGTTAAAAGGAACATTTTATTGACGACTCTTATCAACTTTTGCTGTAGAGCATATTTTATGCTGTTTTTTTAAGACTTGAAGGAACATAATAATTAATGTGGTAATAATATACTTGATCTAGGCGAATTTATCAAATTTTTTATAATAGTTATGATTTATGGATAAAATTTCTACTTGTACGGATGGATTATTGGAGGTGATTTGAATATTTTCAAGTAACTACTCAACTCCAAAGTGGTAAATATTTGTGTTGTTTACCAGAACAAGTCCTAACAGAGTATTTAAATTACCATTGAGAGCTGTATCTTGGCATTAAACAGAGTAATTATAAGGTCAAACAATTGAGTGTTAATATTTATTCTCTCCCTCTTGTGCAAAGGTTTGCTGAGAATGCATAATATAAAGAGGAAACGAATTAGGAGGTCCAACGAGAGCCTTAGACCATTCCAACATCGTGCCCACTGTTGCATCAGAATGATTAAATGCTAGAAATCAAGATTTCCAACAAATTAGAAAGTACGTTGAAATTTACCAATACAAAAAATGGTATATGAACAATATTTTGGCAATTACAATTTCTGTAATTGTTTTACATATATTGATATATGCAGGACTAGAAAGTGACATGAGAAAAACAAAAGATTTAGAAGTGATGGTGGCATTAGTAGCAATAGCAGTTGTTTAATAGTATTTAAAGTTGTATCGTTACTTGATTCTTTATCAATAGCATTACTACTACCACCACCATACTCGTCAAAATTATTTACATTCTTCTTGTTCTTGCTTTTTGCTTGAATGTACGAATCTTACTAATTAAATAAAGTTACCAACATGATTCACTCGAACAAATGGCTTCGTGCATTGTTTTCGGTTTACCGCAGTCGCAATAATAATTTGCAGAAATTACATGTATGGCCATCACCAGCACGAACAGGGATTGCATGGACATTACTGGTCTGTCTATGATACAACAACCTGAAGAAAGCAAAAGATATAATCATATTTAACATTTTGACAATAATAATGTGCTAAAAGCCGTTCATCACGTGCACATTAATACGTATCTTCATATAAAGAAATGTAACGTAGCTATATTACTTCGTATTAACCCATAGGTCACAATCGAAACTAAACCTAAACTTAGAAAAACACAAAGATCAAATATTGCTTATTAAATGAGGCAAAATATATGTGATATTTTATCACAAAATCCTAGGAATACTCTTTGCATTTTTTGGTAGAAAAATTTTGCAATTTGACTTTTCCCGCCTCTCCATGGAAATTAAATTACCAGTACATTATGCGATTTTGAATAATGAACCTCCATTCAGAATCATAATCTGTCCTGACTCATAAAAATGGTTGTGTTACGAACCAATAATTATGTAACAGAAAAGCAAAGTGCATCATTGCAAAAATAAATACGAAGTTTTATTATTGGTCAGACATAATATTTCAATTACCTGTTTAGACGATGATCAGCTCTTAGTCTCAATGTTGATATTTGCCGAAGAAACGATTATATTTGCTTATATAGTCCACACCACCTGAACATCGACTTTAGTCTAAAGATGAAATAATATAATTTCTTTGTGGGTTTTTTTTAATAGAGGCATAATGATTAACTTAATATTCTAATAGGATTGATTGCTGTCATCTCGGAGGGATGCATAACTGTATAATCAAGATATTATTTGACGTTTGAACTCCTGTTTCTAGCATAATTATTAATGGTAGAGAAAAAAAAAACACGTGGCAGCAATCAAATGGAAAGTTATGTAACTGCGTCAAATAGTAGGGAAAGTAGGGTTATGTAATGATAAAGGCAAGCTAAGATCGTTTTGTGTTGAGTCAATGTAGCGTATAGATTAATAAGGGCTGGGTGCGGTAGCATTTTGTAAAAGGTAGGTTTCTGAGGAAAAAAAAGACTAAAAGCAGTTGAGATAGAGATAATAATAATAAAAAATAATATTAGTCTGAATACAGCTTTAATGTTTGATAAAGCTTACGATTAGTCTTCGCAATCCACCTCTAGTCTATGAAAGTCAAAAGTATATCAGTAAAAGCTGTATGCGTTTCGACACATTCTGTATCCAGCGGTATTTTCAACTTAGCTTGTTCCAATAATTTTGAAATACTACGGCACAAAAGGGTTAAGATAAAATTTAATAATAATAATAATAATAATAATAATAATAATAATAATAAAGTAATAATGTAATAATAATAATACTTGTCCTCTAACCAAGTTTGAAATATGAGCTTGCATACACATGGTACCAGTTTGTAAATACCAGTAGTATCATTTTTCCCATAGGTGGGTACTATTGACATGCTTCACTTTTAGTATATAAATATTTTTCCATAGTAGAAAAAGTGAGTCTCTAATTGCTGGCAAAACTCTAAATAAAATAAATAATTGACTTTGCACACACTTTTAAAATGAAATAAATTGCCTAGTCTTAAATAATTGAACGAGTACATGTCTTAACGAAAGAAATCGTTTAGACGTCATAGTTAAACTTTCAAGTAAATTCTTTGTCTATTTCAGACTCCATATTGATGTCTTCTCATCTTGTTTACAATGTAACGTCAACTCTAATTAAATATTTGAATAACAAATATATGGAATTAAAATTTCTCGCTCAAATATCACTCTTTTTTGTGTATCTTATGAAAATCTATTTATTTTGTAAATGATTATATTGATAATGTGATAATATATTTAAATAATTTGCACAATTTAAACTTATTCGGAAACACTCTGTTTATAATCTATTTTGCGTTGAAATGAAATGTTACTTATGGACATATGAAAAGAAAATGTGACTTATGGACATATGAAAAGAAAATGTGACTTATGGACATATGAAAAGTACATGTGACTTTTGTACATATGAAAAGAAAATGTGACTTATGGACATATGAAAAGAAAATGTGGCTTATGGACATATGAAAACTAAATGTGACGTTTGGACATATGAAAAGAAAATGTGACTTATGGATACATGAAAAGTAAATATGACTTTTGGACATATGAAAAGTAAATGTGACTTTTGGACATATGAAAAGAAAATGTGACTTTTGGACATACGAAAAGTATGAGTTACAATACAATAATTAAAATCGCAGTCTTTAACTTCTCTGGGCATGGATGTGTTTCATATGAAACTATATGTTTCGAGTATTATTATTTTGAAGCAAATAAACTTTCAACACTTACATTAACACGTGACTTATATAGCAGGATCACCTATTAACAAGATGTGGAAGTGTCATAATTATTACAGATGTGAATTAGTAAGCCATTGGTACATATAAGAATAGTCTACAGATCTTGATAACCATATATATTTGTTTACAAAACGTTCATGCAGGATATTTTTGTATAATTTATTATTCAACATTGTTTGCTCAACACTATGGAGTCACTTATAACAATACAACTCCAGCTGTCAAGAGAAAGACTTTCCTTTGTTTCAAATGATTTTTCCTTTCCTACAAAATAAGAAAGGTATGGATACTTTACATCCATATATGGGATGCTGATAATATGAGACCTGCAATTACCATATAAATCTCTTGAATCGATTAAATGTAAATATAGATATGCCATGGTATTGTACAGAATGATTGTATTATTCGTAGGTTTTGTTTCGCAAAACAAAATAGTTCATTTGTTTACGTTCGCTGTCATTTTCGGTTATATTTATAAGCCACTGAAATATATTGCCTAATAAATCTTTGATATGCCAACAATATTACAGAAACAATTTATCTGATTGGCTTCTTGAAATGGGGAAAAAAATCATGAATTTTGATAGCGTCCTTTCTTAGCCAGATAAATCGTACAACTAGGTTAAAGGATGATTTTGTTTGAAGGTTTAGTCACATGACTTATCATCGGCAGACCTTCATTTAATCAGAATCTTCGACGTTTTATTTGTCAGACGTTGATGAACTAATTGTTTTTGCGATGCATTCATTTACAACATAATTGAGGTTTGTCTGGTGCTTTGTTTCTTATGTTCTGCCTTTTAAACCAACTAAAAAATGATAGCATCGAGAAGTAACCATTAATGTGTCTCGTACAAAATTCATGCCTTTATTAGTATAGTAGGACAGATAAAAATATCTGGTCATTCTTGATAACAACACAGGAATTGTGTATGTATGTGTATGTGTGTGTGTGTGTGATTTGGGTTGTTAATGTGACTTTAACAATATCGCTACGATGATTGCAGTGTGGCAGTTTATAGTGATGACTAGTATTGGAACATGTCCCAACCAGTCACATTTTCCTGACATCAAGCCGCCCAGTCCTAACATTAACCTCTTCATGTTGAGCGCCAAGAGAGGCAGCTGCCAGCAACTTTTTATAGTCGTGAGTATGACTAGGTCGGGATTCAAACCCGCGCCCTCCACCATCCGAAGCGGACGCTCTAACCACTAGGCCACCGGAGAAGTCCCCACAGGAATTGTTGATGCACACAGTGAATGTAATTTTTTTTATGGCAATATATGGATTCGCAATAGGGCTTTGAATCAATTCAAAATGAAAGTAAAGTGCTACATGACGTGTTGTCCGAAAAGTCGTGTAATAGTCTTGTCTTCATGATCGACATCTTCTCTCATAAAACGATCTAGTGAAAGCAGATATTGTTTGCAAAGAAAATCTTTTCAAAAGATTATAAATCGCTTGGATGCTTTACTAGTCAACAAGGAAAACGTAAAAGTATGTTCTTTATAGTCTGCCTATAGGTACGCATGCGATAGAGACAAAAATATTGGTCAATAACAAAAGATAAATATATCAAAACGCAAGGGTACAGGATATTTCCAATGTTACTTAGCCACAATAGAAAACTATTAAAATGATTAGAGCACAAGTTATTTAAATGTTACTTAGCAACAGTTATTGTTATTCAGATATTCGCTTGCATTTAATACATATACCCTTCATCCTGGTTAGACATCGTATGCTGACGCAGTAGCCAAATTTCATTCCAATAAAATGTTCGTGTTATAATTGTACGAACATCAGCTATCGCTGGAGACGAATATGGTCTGATCTAATAATGCAAGCAAAGAAAACACGTCATCAAAAATGAAATTTCGTGTTAGTAATTAAGCCCCACAGGCTACGGTCTGCATCAACTGATCTGTGCCGTGTTGTGAAAATCGCGTAACAAGCTTCCCTAGCTAGAGCAAGTATTGGGTTGTTTTTCTCGGGTTTATCATGTCACACATGCAGAGGTTAATGCTGTTGCACAATATCGTCACTACACAATTTGTGAGGCGAGTTATTTAAACTATACCGTGTTATCTTTAAATTTGATTAATAATCCTCTTTAACTGGGATTAAATCGCTGCATGAAGCCTCAATAAAGACAAAATTGTCCTGGTTAATTCTCATCCATGGCAAGGGTTGATATTTTTGCTGTTGGAGTTTGTTCTTATGTCTTATGTTTGGTTTTGTCTTTTTTGCTCGTTTTTTAATGAAGGAAAAAAAACCAAGCTATATCCCAAATCATTTCTTAAAGTAGCAATTCACAATTATTGGAATATGCTAGATTGATTATAATGTGTGATACACAATTTATCGAAATGCATACAGCTCGGATCTGATTCGAACCCTAACCAAGTTAAACCAAAGACTTATAAAAATGGTACTAACAGATCCATGGCAAAGCGTTCAACATTAAGAAGCTAGTGTTAGGACTGGTTGGCTTGGTGTCAGGATAATGTGACTGGGTGGGGCATCATGCTACATGTCTGCGACATGATGTCTCAGAGGTAGACATCTCTATAAACTGCCACACAGCAGACAAAGTAGCGATCTGACTGACAGATTGTTAAACCTATCTTAAAAATCCATATATATATATATATATATATATATATATATATATATATATATATATATATATATAAATATATATATATATATATATATATATATATATATATATATATATATATATATATATATATATATATATATATATATATATATATATATATATTAGAAGTTGATTTCGATGGTCAAATAACTATAGACCACTTCTAATACGATCAGTTATTTAATACAATTTCACTCAGTTAACAAATCAATCGTCAAACTATCGTATCGATCGATCTTGTCTTTATGATAGAAAATATAATAATCAAATGAATAAGATAATGACACAATAATCCATTATAAAATCAGTAAATGCTTTAAGTTTTGTATTGGGACTACATGCATTCATACATACATACATACATACATACATACATACATACATACATACATACATACATACATACATACATACATACATACATACATACATACATACATACATACATACATACATACATACATACATACATACATACATACATACATACATATATACATACACACATACATACATATATGCTGTAACGACCCTCTGGTCTTCAATTACGTAGCAGGAAAGAGCGAAAACTAACAAGATTTGTCAAACTGAACAAATAATTTATTTTCCTAGAATAGAAACCGTGAGATTTGTATAAAACTTATAGCATGGCAAATTGAATTCCAAATGGTCCTTAAAGTTCTATCACAAGTCCAAAAATATAGAGTATTCCAGTAAATTTCTGAATAAATGTTAATTCTGAATATTCGGAGTTGCCAATAGCCTTAATATATTAATATACCAACAGTCGTAACGTATCCGAATGATGTTGTTCAAACTGTCTTTCTTTGAATTTACAATTATATCTCTATAGTGATTTAGTCCGAAGTATTGTAATTCTAATGAATAATTTAGATAAATTAAATCCTCTTAAATTATAGCTGAAACACAAGTTTATGTCTGAATACGCTACATGTGTTTACATCGAAACGAATAATTCTGCTGCAAACAATCGTAGTATAAAAACCTAAAATAACCAGGAAGAAGGCTAAAAGTTAACGTCCAGTTCATCGGTTTTTGCTCTAACGTTGTATCAAACTCCCTGTAAAAGCCGAGATAGTCCTTATTTTTCCAGGGGAAACAAATGTTCCGAACCCTTAATCTAAGTAAACATGTTTACAAAAAGTGACATTATTGAGGTAGTACTTCTCATTAAATCAAGATTTATGGTACTGTTATTTATGTTTTGTTTCTAGAAATTTAGATTATGTCATTGTGATGCATAAAAACTGTTAGAACGTAAAATTGTTCTAGGCTATTAATTCGTCGACACTTTGAAGGTTGGAATTCGTTCGGAACCTCGCCAGAATTTATTCGGAATAATCAATACTTTCGATTTTGTGTTATAACCTATATGACTATTGGGGATTTAATTCACAGTACTTTAATTTCTTTTTTTTTAATTTTGGATTTGTATTCTAGGGAAATAATTTAATTGTTGAATTTTACAAAACTTGTTCGTTTTTGCACTCCCGAATTACCTAGATTAAGACCATGGAATCCTAATAGAATATTGGAGGCACTTGTCCGTGATATGATTTTGGTTAACATATTTAAGAAAATATTAGTTGATGTTTTGAAAGTCACTTTTATCGGAATATGTTTATTCACCGATACTTTAGTATAATATATTTGATAATTTTTTAGTCAGATTCAACAAGCAATCACAATGTTATCTAAATTGGAGAACTCTATTTGAAATCTTAATCCGGAGGGATTAGAGCTCCTGATAGAGAACGAATTGTTCCAACTTGCCAGACTTGCGATGGCGGTTTTTACGAAAGTTTAACGAAGCAGGAAATAAAAATATTGTGGCCAATATTTTGGGGAAAAGAATCTTTTGGATAAAAGTGCTTTCAAGTTAATTGTATGTTTGTAAACGGTTCTGATAGGAAATTGAAAGATTTGCAGCTAAAATTCCATATGAAGATTGCATTAAGATCGTCTTAGCTTCCGAAGAAATGCGAATCCAAAATCAAATATGAAAAGAGGCAATTGCATATGGAAAGAGAAAAAGAAGAAAACGAAATGTAATTTAGCTTAATCGAAATAGAACTGGCAAGGGTAAAGCATTTTTCAAACTTACAAGTTCAGTTTTAGACGATACTAGAAATATTAGATAAGTACTCCATTTCAAAGGAAAAGAAATATACCAAATTAGAGGGCATTGGATTTTACTATTACAAGGTGTACTTTTTGGCAAAGTTCGTGAAGTCTACACTTCACAGCCGGTACAAGAAAATGCTGATTATGACGGGTTTAAAGTATTATCACTAGTATATGCAATACCAGTCCTAGGTCACATTTTTCACTGCATGATAGTGGTCGAGAGACCTAACGTCTATATACTAATGGAGTATGGGTTTTCTTACTCCCTTTACTGTGATGACTCCTGCTGAGAAGAAATGGGCGTATATTGGACCTGTTTTGTGGTTCACTGCGTGATAAAGAATGTTCTCTTGTCCGTGTTTTCTTTAGCGTGCGAGAGTATGAATACCAAAGGTGGAGTAACGCTTTTCGTGCATGGTAGATATGCTATGTCGTTGTGATCGGAAAGTTCTTATGGAGTGGTAGTGTAGATGTCCCTGTAGCAACTGTCTGTAGTAATCAACAGTAGCGATGTAACCAATGACAGGATATTTAACAGATTATACTTTATTCCTGATGGTATCATTATCGAGTGTGTGGCAGTACATTTTGAACTCCTATGAATTCTTTGATGGGTATCCCACAAGTTTCATCTTTGAACGTTTCAAGATCCTTTTTATTATCTTTGCAGTCGAATAGATTTGCTTCAGAAGAGTCGCGAAGATCAGATAGTTCTTGGTGCTGATACAGATCCGCGTAGAAGACATCGGTGTGAATTTCATAGAAGAGTGAATCAGCATCGGTCATGAACAGTGTGGCTTTGTCTTCGTATTGGCGTTTTATAAAGCCATAATGAACCTCGAGCATGAACATTTTGGAGAGGTCAAGGACGGATATGCCAACGTACATGGGTTTGTCCTGCTTGTGTTGTGCTTTTTATTAATTCAATCTCGACGAGCTCTTTGTCAAAGATTTTCATGATGACGAAGGCATCTTTGGCCACGAACTTAGCTTGTCGTAGTAGGTTATTGACGATTTCGATTTTATTTCTGCGTCTAATCTTCTCCTTGGTGTTTCTGAAGACGTTGTAGTTCACGAATTTGAAGAAACTTTACCGAAGTAAGCCTTTGCTCGCTGATTTGTGTTGAAGTCGATATAAGCTTTCATCAATGGAAATTGTTTAAACTTTAGACCACGATGACATTTGCCAAGAAGGAGTCATTGCTGGAGAGCTTATTCGATGAGTCGATGTTGTTATCTTGTTGTTTGCTTTGTGGTTGAGATTGGGTACTAGTTTTTTTTTACCCTGGTGTCTTCGAGTAGGAATCGGCTTATCTGCTCAAATTGTTTTTGAGTTGGTGACAAGGAGTGGTTAAGCACAGAAGGGATAATAATTATGAGCATCATGAAGATGAGAGATAAAGGAGATCGACTTCGA